GTCATGTAACGAAATGTATGGAAATTATTGCTCTTATATGTCTCTACTCGTGTGCTGTTATTAGTTTTCATATTATTTTTAGCTGAAAAATGTTACAAATTATTTAATGCGTATTATGGGTTGAGCCATAGAAGTGAGGTTAGCGCTAGTGGTTCTCCGAGCATGTAGGAGAAAGTACATGTAATAATTATTACCAAATAATTATTATTAATTGAAAATGAAACGATACATTTTTACATATATTGTGTGTCATGACAAATTATTTCCCAGTAAGCAAGAAACACTGCAAGAAGCATTTTAACTACATTACAGCAACGTTTTAACATTAATGCAATGTTGAAATGTTTCTGGATGTTTCTTGCTTACTGGGTTTTAACAAGTTTTAGACATTAATATATTTGAAAATTAAATAAGTTTTATAAGGTATCCCCCGCATAAAATCCATAGTAAGGTTAACTCACGTTTTCAAAAAATAATAATTCCGTTCTTTTAAACTATTCTTTTGTAGTAAAACTTGCATATTTTATAGGGGACATTTCAAAGAATATTTTAGTACAAAACAAAGTTTATTTATTTATTGTTAATATGTTGTATACTTGATTAAACCTTAGCGTTCTTATTGTCTCGTAAACGTGCCAAATAACTATTACATCACTACCTAGTTTAGGTACATATTAATAGTTTAGATGCATATGCATAAAGTTATGGCTGTGCTATAAAATAAGAGAAGTAAAAAAAATATTTTTTATAATACTTTATTTTTTTACGAATATTTATGTTGGCTTCTTTGTGTAAATTTTTTTTGTTCTGAATAAAGACAATCATATGTTCAAAAAATGGTATTTGAATCATTATTATAGGTTGAGTATAGGTAAAGACAAATGCAGGAATTTGGAAGATAATTAATCACATTCGAATGGTTTAACATATTAAAAATTAAAAATTACTTTTATGTACACAAAGAGTTCCTCTATCTATAGATACCTCGAGCTTTAATTTACCTCTCTTAGTTCAGGAAATATGAACCCAAACAAAAAATCCGTCTCAATCTACCCCACCATACCCTACGGGAAAATGGTTAAGGGAATCCTATACCAAAGGCCGAACTCTAACGATGCCGATAATTTCGATTGTTTTTTATGTTACCGGCCTATATCTGTCCTTGTATAGGCATAAACAGTATAGGATATAAACAAGAATAAACAAGGTTATAGTATACACACATACGCACGAATCGTAATATATACTGTACTCTTATATTAGACTCCTAATCTCGATTTAGAGAATTTACCAATATTCTTTCGTGTATTTCAACCCCAGGGAACTTGTTTTCAACGTTCGTACAAACTGTACAACTGTTATATGAAGTACATGTTATGATGAGTTGACAGCTCGTCTACAACTTGAGACGCCATATTGAGCTAAAAGTAGGTAAGAAAATCGGTAAATCTGTAATTCAGTAATTATTTCTGGTTTTTCACATAAAAAAGAATTTCCTGGGATCATTGATCTGCAATCGTGGAGAAGCATTTTCAATTCTATCAAATTAATGCGACGAAAGACTAAAACTACGAAAATAGTAATTTTGTCAGTAATACAGACGGATAGGATCCCTTTACCTTTAAACGTTTTCCAGATTTTCAAAATTTTCATATTCTTTTTTTACAACTTTGACACCTAGTATTTTGGAGACTAAGCAGTTTAGAACACATATATTTATGGTATCTTTTCTTTTTAAAATAAACCAAGGAATATCTCCTTTAAGTGTGTGTATTTACTTAGGAAATACTCTGTATATAACTATATATAAATAAATTTTACCTTTAAAGATTTTTTGGAAATCTAAAAAAAACTAATTTCCTTAGTTCTATCTGTGTTATTTTTGCAATCTTTTACAGGGCAAATCTATCCATCATCACCTATATATATATATATTTTTCAATTTAATATTATATTATTACATTTACAGATATTGCTGCACATAAATGTTGCTCAAAACAACAATGTCAGCAATGCCAAACAATATTCTTCGCGAAAATAAGGATGGTGCTTTATCCGCAACTACTTTACCTTTACCTACTTAAGAACTTAACAACCTAAAAACTACTTTAACACTAACCAGGATGCATTACGTGGAACTCGTGGAAGTACAGTTCGCTAGCTTAGCATCCCTTAACAGAGATCAGGACTCCACAGTTTGTCACTCACTGTGGTATTTAGTGACTCAAATTCTCTCTGTCGTGTGTGTATGTATGTATGTGTGTGTGTGTGTGTGTGTGTGTGTGTGTGTGTGTGTGTGTGTGCGCGCGCGCGCGCGCGTGCGTACGTGTGCGTGCATGTGTATGCATGCGCGTGTGTGTGCGTGTGTGTGCGTATGCATGTGCGTGTATGTGCACGCGCGCACAACAGAGAGGGTTTGGAGTCACTAAATACCACTGAAGTGACGAACTGTGGAGTCCTGATCTCTGTCAAAGGAAGCTAAGCGAACTGTACTTTCACGAGTTCCACGTAATGCATCCTGCACTGAGAAAAAGGTTTCTTTATGCCAATTAAATATATTTGGTTGAAACTTTTCTAAAATATTTATTTCAAGCAAACAAATTATATTTAATATAAATGAATGTTTTGTTGGTATTGCTAATTTACTTTATCATTCATATTTGTGTCAACTCGGCGATATAGTTGACATGATTTATTTCATACAAATGTGTGTAGATGTTGGATCAAATAAAGTTCGTTCTTTTGAGTGAAACGAATGCGATTTGTTGAGCCAACTTTATATTTCTTAATAGATAAGAAATCTTGCATTGTTTCGTGCTCGGTTCCGTGGCGCGTAATGCTGCGTTCGGCTCGCGCCCGCTACGCGGCGCATCGCCAGGATCCTTTCGCGTAATTAAGATTCAACATCGACTCCTATATCTAGGACAGCTCGGCAGGGTTTCTCCAGCGACGTCCAGCGTTCTCTAGTTCGCCAGTCAGAGCGTGCTCACTAGCAGGGCCTCTGACATAACCAAATATATATATATATATATATATATATATATATATATATATATATATATATAATTACAAACGTCGACGCGGATTTTCAGCAAAATAAAATTATTTACTGTTAAAAAATATTTAATTGATATTATTTAGTGCTAAATTCAAATTCCTTACCTAATAATAAATCTCCGTTAATGTAACAAAATATACTTTTGTGCCAAAATTATATTCCTTAACTATTAAGAAATATTCAATTGATGCAAAAAGATATTTGTTCGTGCCAAAATCAGATTCATTAACTATTAAAGTACATTAATTTGGGGCAACAGAATATTCACTATTATCACAAACCAACGATTCCATTAATTCAACAAAATATTCGATTCGCCGTATCCAACCATGCCATTTATTATCTGTTAATGAGCCTTATTTAGTCCAAAGAAACCTTTTTCTCAGTGTGGTTAATGCTAAAGTTCTTTACATGCAGAATGTACTTACAATTCTGATTAACATCATGGTTTTAATTATTACTATTACGTATGTGGATAACGTCATTTTTTACTGTGTTTAAGCCATTCTAGCAATATTCCCACCACTTCTCGGACAAATGATTGTTATTTCTTGTCATTTGAGGACCCAAATAATGATTTTTCAAGGTCTATTCACTTTACGCTTAGGGGCTAAAATTGACTCTTAACATGCTCCTTTAAAAATGATGTACGTAATTGAAAGTAATTGAAAATATGCATTAATTCTCTTAACGTATAACTATAGACCTTTACAATCTCCGTAGAATTAGGTCACAACTTGTTTTAGAAAAAGAAATATGATTAAATAAACAAAATTTTCAATTTTACTTAATTAAAAAAATTTTGTTTTGATATTTTGTAAATAGCTCTCGTGCAAAAGCTTTTTTGCTTTCTAACATATTCTGAGATTCTAAACTATCAATTTAAAAAAAAAATTTGCCCTATACATGTGCGCAATAATGCTTGTAGGCAATCGGGAATGTCTGCAAACAAAGCTGTCGGCAAAATGTTGTGAGCAAACGAAGCTGTTGGCAATCGAGAATGTAGGCAAACGGAACCCCCCCCCCCACACGCATTAATTTAATTAATTCAAATTACGATTAAAACCTGCGAGTATCAGCGTTGTGTACGTATCGATTTCACGTATCGATTTGTGTGCTTAAAATACTATACGTTCGCATCAATAAGAAGAGACAGAGAGACGATAGACATTCTCGACTTCAGCCTTGACTGACGAGTGCAGTGATAATAATAATTACCGTAGTAATCCTCAACAGGTATTCTCACCGCTGAAATCCCATCCCATTGTCCTTAGAAAACGTTACGGCTGCCACGGGCAGCCAATATTAGCTTACGCCAACGACGAAGACAGAACTTCGCGGTTTTTATGAATAAACTTTCCTCCTTTTATTACCAAGATCAGCGCGAAGCCTTCTACAATAGCGCGGTTGAGATATTGATGAATATACAATATACTTATATATAATATCTCGAGGGACATATTAAATATCGTGGGTAAGTAAAAGATTAAGCCTAGAGAGAAGCATCAGGCTTTGCCTGCTTGTCAATATTACACCAAAAAATAAAATCCAAAAATTTTTTGGATTTATTATTTTTTTATGCTGTACTTAACAAATATATTTAATAATTATAAAAGTACTAAATAATGCTAAATAAAATTACTACGAACAAATAAAATTGTATAAGGAAAAAATGCAGAAAAAAATCGCAGAAAAGAAAATGAAATAAATCTGATCTCGTTCCATAGTAATCCGTATAGCTTTTAAGAATATTTAAACTAGTAGTTTTTTAACTTAAATTTTCCATTAATTAATATTTTTTCTAACGTCTTTCCTCGCACATATTTCTTGTTACAAATTGTCATTAAATGTATGAGTAACGATAGAAAGTCATAATTTATAAAAATTAACAAAAAGCTATAACCATCAATTAATTTTTAATCTGATAAAATAATTGTTCCAGACCGCGCTACACACCGGAGTTGGCGCCCAGCAGCAGCTATTGGAACCCAGAATGGCGCAATTGGAGACCTTAGAGGCTAAGGTAATGAAAAATCCTTAAATCTTGTAATTTTCCAAAAAATTGGAAATGTTCCTCGCAAAACTATTACCGCGGAGATTCCGATTGTATCCCAAAGTGAAATGGCGCGCGAGAACTCGTGCGATAAGAAGTCATCCCGCGTCAGCCCACGGCACTTCTCCTGGTCCTCGGTATCCTTTTTGCTTTTCTTTCCCCCCCCCCTGCCTGCCGGCGATGCTGACCGTCCTGTGGGAGCTGTTTTTAGTGGTACCATCAGAAAAAACCAAAGGCGATGTTTCGCGGTTATTGGCGAGTCGGTATTATAGCCCGCTGGTTTCTTAAGCCTGTCCGGCCAATGATTTATATGCAGATCCGTGAACCGAACCCCGTTTGATGCGGAGATCCTCGGACCCAAACTCGGTGACCGGTTGGGGAGGTGGCGAAGGGAAACCAGAGGCCCCTGCTCGCATCGGTACCATTAAAAGTTCCCCGGCACGAACGTCCAGTGGCGCAGCATCCGCAAGAACCACTCGAGTTTTTGCCCGAGATGCAACAAGAACGTTAGATCGAGCGTGCAGCGCTCGCGAACTCATTTTTCGACATAACGACGCTTTTATATATATTTTTTTCTCTTCTTTATTCTGAACATCATTTAAGTCGTCAGATTCCTCGCGCCTGATTGCAGTGAAGGGTAGGCTGAAATTGAAAATTATGCGGGCCGCGACGCACTATTATCTGCTTCACGACTTTCACGTGTTTTTTCATAAACTACGAAACGGCAACGCTTTGCTTCTGCAAAATGCAGGAAGCTTTCTTTATTAGCTCCGATAATACTGCGGTCGCGAAAGTAAAAGTGTGGCGTGCAAAAACTTGCTTATACACTGAGAAAAAGGTTTCTTTATGCCAATTAAATATATTTGGTTGACACTTTTCTAAAATATTTATTTCAAGCAAACGAATTATATTTAATATAAATGAATGTTTTGTTGGTATTGCTAATTTACTTTATCATTCATATTTGTGTCAACTCGGCGATATAAAATTGACATGATTTATTTCATACAAATGTGTGTAGATGTTGGATCAAATAAAGTTCGTTCTTTTGAGTGAAACGAATGCGATTTGTTGAGGAGCCAACTCTATATTTCTTAATAGATAAGAAATCTTGCTTTGTTTCGTGCTCGGTTCCGTGGCGCGTAATGCTGCGTTCGGCTCACGCCCGCTACGCGGCGCATCGCCAGGATCCTTTTGCGTAATTAAGATTTAACATCGACTCCTATATCCAGGACAGCTCAGCAGGGTTTCTCCAACGTTCTCTAATTCGCCAGTCAGGGCGTGCTCACTAGCAGGGCCTCTGACATAACCAAATATATATATATATATATATATAATTACAAACGTCGACGCGGATTTTCAGCAAAATAAAATTATTTACTATTAAAAAATATTTAATTGATATTATTTCGTGCTAAATTCGAATTCCTTACCTAATAATAAATCTCCGTTAATGTAACAAAATATACTTTTGTGCCAACATTATGTTCCTTAACTATTAAGAAATATTCAATTGATGCAAAAAGATATTTGTTCGTGCCAAAATCAGATTCATTAACTATTAAAGTACATTAATTTGAGGCAACAGAATATTCACTATTATCACAAACCAACGATTCCATTGATTCAACAAAATATTCGATTCGTCGTATCCAACCATGTCATTTATTATCTGTTAACGAGCCTTATTTAGTCCAAAGAAACCTTTTTCTCAGTGTACACATAAGGCGGGACAAACGTGGGGTTAATCAAGGGGAGATGTAAATCAGGAAAATACCGTTTTGCAAAATTATTTAAAACCGTAAATGTACGGGCTCTCTCTCTATCTCCGTTCTAATAATTCCGATACCATTGGAATGCATTTGGCTTTATCAAGATCTGTGTTAATATAAACTATGATTTAATTAAGGTGTTACATACCTTTGACAGGCCTTTATAGGTCAACATTTTTCGAAACAAATTTTTATTGTGGGTAAAATTATGTCTTATTAGAAAATGAAAATAAACGGCGATACGAGTCAGGCGCGGTACGTGGTGCGCAAGTAAAGAAATTAATAGTTACAGAAGTAACGAATTACAATGTATATAATATACATATACCACCTATATTCCAACTTAATAAACTGCGCGCCGATTATTTGTCGGACTTGAAACACCTATTGTTGGAACATTAATACCCTTCCCTCCCCGGAATTAAATCGACGATTTAATTATTTTTAAAAAACTGTAAAGAATTTATTGCGAAAAATATTACCTCAGCCAGGATTCGAACCTGAAACCTCCTTCATTCCGTGAAAGACGTCGTACCAATTCGACTACCGAGGCATGTAGTAATATTTATTGCAATAACCGGTTAATAATAGTTACAAACGCATTGTTTTTAGCCTGCGTAAATTCAAATATGTCGTAAACCAATTTGCATGAAATTTTTTATAGCTACTTTCAATACAATAATCTAGTCCTTCACATAAGATTTTTTGCTATTTATGGCTTAGTTTTTTTTATAAATAAAAGAATAACCAATTTTAGTTCAAAAATCGCATTTTTTGCTACAAATCGCTGTCATTTGTTAAAAAATCAATATTTTTAAAATCGGCTATGACAAAGACTAGAGGTATTTCTGCAATGGTACCGCGAACGGCGTTTTTACAAACACCATTCGGGAAAATAGCTGTCAGAACCTCAAGTTTTAATATTTTTTATTGAAATTTTCAGGAGATATTCTCAAAAGACTACTCTACAAGACATGTATTTTTATTTTTTAATAAAACATAATTAAAATATTTACAATAAATGCGTAACTCTTTAAGCTGTTTTTTCTCTAAAGAGCTAATATTTGAGATATTAAATTTATCTTGGTCATATGTTCTCCTCCTTCCTCACTTTCGTCGTAAATCACCGCATCTGTAAATATCTATGTTATCCTACGCGCGATAAATCAGAATTGCTCACCGACGAGCAAATATTTGACCAAAAAAAATCGGTGCAGCTAATTTATCCGATTGTACAAGACCGCCACGGAACACGAGGGGGATTATCGATTACATTTTCACTTAATAGCAGCGTTGCGATGACGGAGCGCCGTAGTCCACTAATAAATGGCCGCGCTACTTATAGTTAGACGTAGCCTTCCCCACCGGAAAAAATCGTCGCAACCACACCCCGATCGCCGCCGGGCGATGTTGAGGTACAAGTTGAAATAATACCACGAGCTAATTAGCATAAGTACAATCGCCTGCCTCGTGTAATGGACTCTTAATGCGACGTTATCAATCACGACTCGTCCGTACGCGTTTTACTCCGTTATCAAAAAATGACAGTATCGTTATTTGATAAAGATACGATGCGATTCGTGGGTGATGATCTCGGATTGCCGGTGCAAACGTCAATAACTATAATTCGAAACAGGCTGAACAGGCCATTTTTCGAACTTTATTTAATTATAGAAACAAATGCAAAAGTCCACAGGACGGATTTCTTTTAGACTTTCTGGAAATTTTGCCAGCATTATTGACTGTATCCAACGGAGAGATATACGCAAACGTAAAAAAGAATAAAGAGTATTTATCGTCCGCGCAATATTTACTTGTGTTTGCATGTTTATCTGTTTGATTAGACATATATGATTAATATTTACTTTCGTAGAAAAGAGCGGATTTCTGATGACAGAAAGGAGATGCAAATGCCTCGCAATGCTTAACTTCCTCGGCAAGAGGAAGCTTTTCAGGAGTCGGATAGCGTATATACTCCGTGTTCTAATTTATAGCTCTGTCGCATAATACACATCGCGAGATAGCATCCGCTCTGTTATTCCGATGCCTGACCACCTCTAATCTCGTTCTTTAAACCTCGTCGCATCTTTACTTTGCTTCAACTCCGGATCGACGAATAGCGAGTCCCCATTTACACCCAGTTCGCGCGTCCATCCGTATCGAATAGTATTTTGATAAATGCTGCACATATCCGTCGATCATTATTAATCGTCCACGTTCGACGAGCCCTTCTTCTTGCGACGTGGACGTGGACCCGTCGACCGGGACAACCGACACGCCTTCGTACCACCGAGGCAGCCAAACAATCCGGTTTCCTAACCAGCGTCGTTAAGTTCGCGTTCCTGGCCGTATCTCCTTGCTCATTGTATAACAGAAGTTCGATATCGGACGACTTCAACTTCGGAAGTCACATTGCTCGACGGTGTGACATTGTGTTGCCTTCGACGCGACTGGTTTTTCCATTTAAATGGAGAACGCACTCTTTAAAAGTCAAAGAGCGGAATATCGCACTCAAATCGAGTGCAAATGTAACGAAAACTGAAAATTGAACCTGTGCACATATTTTCTCGTTTGTAATTGGATTCGAGTAGGACATTACTTATTCGTGTGTCTGCTGCTTAAAACGGAAAACAGATTTTTCTCGATTGAGTGCAGTTGCATTTATATAACGTAAACGGATTTAAAAAGAGGAAAGCGTTTTTGAGCTCCCAACTTGTTCCATACGAAATCCACCGCGATATTTACGCTCGAGCAGATCCACACGACGCGACGCGTCGCGTTTGCTTTCGCGAAGCGAACATAGCGACGTAGAGATGAGGCAAAGAAGACGCGGGTACGCCGCGTGCTGGGGGCCACGATATGAATAATGAAAAAGAACGTCGAGATTCGAAGACTCGAGGAGGTTGCGTCTACATCGGTGGGAATCAGTCCAAGAGACGAGGACGCTTTTAAGATGGTTGATCCCCGGCAGGTAAGAAAGGATCTTTTATCCTTGCGCTCCCGTGCGACATGGAAATATCTTGAAAAATTTGCTCCAATTTCATTATGCCAAACAGCACGATCGTCAGGAATATTAGGGAAAGGATAATTTTTGTCACGTCCGTAAAGAATTTTCACGAGTAGCAACATGTCGCATGAATATGAATTAAAAGCCTTTTAAAATGGAAAATTTATTATTATATAAGCAATTTGTAATTA